ATTTCATTGAACAAAAACGATTCGAAACCATCTAATGTGCAGTCGGAACCTTCAGAGAGTTGCCCTTATACAAGTAGTTAAGATTTTTAAAGGCATCGCGGATTTTGTGGTTTACCATAGAGAGCTTCCAGCTACTTCGGCAGTTTTCTTTTTCTCGTTGTACGAGTTCTTTTATCTCAATGAACATGAAAGCAAACTGTGAAAGTGTTCAGAAACAATTTCCAACAAAATTTTGCTCGTGAGACTGATTTTATAATTTTATATTAGTCACCATTATTGAACTTTTCATTTGTCACTCTTTGTCAAACTCGTCAATGGAAGAAAAAGGCAAATGAAACTCTGAAGATAAGGACAAAATTGAAGATGCTATAAATGTTTTTTTTTCTCAGGCAGAAAAAGTATTGCTAACAGATGCTGCTAAGTAGTGCTGCAGAATTGTGGTTGAAAGTAGATTGAAGAATTCAAACGGTTGTTGAGTTGAGATTCTACCCAGTTTTGGCTACCGAATTTGGTGGCGTATTTTTCAATTTTCTCGACCTCAATTATGGGAAATGCTCGATAACAATCAAGCAAGCTACGTGTTAATGCTTCTTTTACCTTACTGCTTGTATCAGGACGACACCCTGAATGAATCCGACAGCTCTTCAATGCTTTTGAAATAGGTTAATAAAAAAATGAGTAAAAAAATAGGCTATCAAAAAATGAAAAAAAAACAAGTATTTTTCTTTAAAAAAATTCTCCCCACACGCCACTCCAGTATCTAAGTGATGTTCTTTGCGCCTAATATAACCAAATAACAGCAAGCACCAAAAATCTTGCCTCAATTAAATTTGAACCAATTTCAAAGACGCTTTCTACGCGTGAAAAGCACGAAAATCATGGCGCTTTAATTGTCACAAAATGACCCAAATGGCAGTCGTTAAACCCCATAGTTTTCTAAATAAAAAGATCAAATATAAAATTTGTTTTTATATATCAGCTCAGCGTATCAGCTAGTTTTGAGATACTATAACAAGTGAGTGGCAGACCTTATTTATTAGGAAAAAGAAAATCTAGCATGGGTCCATATTAGCATCTCTGCTGCCTGGAATCGCTTGTCTCGCTAAAAGTTTCCGGAAATTTTTGAGTCGCCTGTCTCTATTGAAACTTTCTATCCTCATTTGATTGCAAAATTGAGAAAAAATTTCCTGCTAAGCAGAATCAGATGCTGATTGATGAGTCAATAATAATTAGACACAGCAGAATTCTGCAACAAGAACCGGCGGTTCTCATACAAATGCAAACTAAGCCTAAAAACTCTGAATGACTCAATGAAAATAATTGTATTTACTGATCAAATGTCACCATAAAAAATCTGTTCAAATGTGAAAATCTCCTAACGCCTCAGCATCAACAAAAAGTCGTTAGAATTCTCAAAGTAAGCATGGCTATCCGAAAACAGCAAAAAATTTTAGGTTCTTATTTCATGTTTCTAGATCTGATAGTCTAAACATGTTGGAACTTAGTTTCTTCTATGTATACTAGAGAATCAATCTCAGACAAATCAAATTATTAACTTGGTTTCAACATGGGCTGCTCCGTTTTGACCACCATACTATATATCATCTTATAAAGTTTAGCTTTGGTGCTGGTAGTTCGAAGTCTTCAGTGTTCAATTTAAGTCATTATAATTTACCTGGATTTTTCTTCTCTCTAAAAAATTTTTTGGAAATGATTTTGAAGTTTACTCGCGGACCAATAGTTTTCAGGTACAAAAAATACAATCGAGTCAAATAAATGGGCTACATGTTTTTTCATCCCAAATGATTCATCTGCTAAACAAAAAGAGTTCTAGTGAAAGGAAGCTCCAAATGTCGTAATTTTTGCGTGTTTCATTAACTCAACGAAATCTAAGTCTGCAGCTTTCGGAATTGGATGATTTAGACAGACATCTTTTTTTGAGCAAATTATTCTGGCTGACATGAAACAAAATTTTAGACGTCCAAAACTTTTTTGGCAAACTAAATCAAGTTTATCTTCAACCATGACATGGTCAAGCAAAACAGCGGAACTGATGACGTTAAAGCAAGTTTATTCAACGAGTTTGCTTGATGGATTCTTCTGTCAACACTATCTTTTGATATATTCAACAGCCAAGAGGATTTTTTTGCGATGAATCAACCAGTTGCACTGCGAATGAAACATCTGCGTTTTGTTTTTACAGGAAGCTAAAATTTAATCAATTCTTGTTTATGCACTCTCCTAACTCTATACTGTCAGACTTGTTCTGGTTATCGATTTGAAACCTTTCCATAAAACACCTAATCAAAAGTCAAACACAAACAATGACGTCAAAAAGCATAGTTACTGATTTTCTCTCTAATCTTGATGAGCTAACTGACAATATTAATTACAAAAACTTTCCATGCATCATCATATCAAGTAAATTGAGCTTGAAAAACTCGGTGACAAAGTTTTTGCTATAAAAGTGCTGATTACTTGAATGACAGGATTTTTTAAGTAAAAATAATTTGTCTTTTTTTAAATCAGTTTTTGTGTCCAACAAGGCAGTAATTTAATCCTTTAGTTTTTTAAAGTAATTGAGTTCCTGATTGAGTTTTCAAGACCTAGTTTTTGTTTACTGCAATGATATGATCATTGTCTCCAATTTGATTCTGAATCAACCAAAAACACATCGAAATAAAAACTGGCAAGATACTTCAATGTAAAGAAGAACCTCCTAGGAGGCGTCACGCAGTCTAAAAAAATTCATTTTATCATTCATTTGAATGATACGCAGTCACGCAGTCTAAGAATTGCCACGAAACTTTATGTATGCCACGAAATAACTTTGGAATACATAGAGAGTCAGAGTCGTTGATCAAAAATTGATACCTCTGTTCGAAAATGGAGGAACTATATAGAACAAGCGGTCGAGATAAATAATGAGTTGATTGATATGACTGCAAAAAGTGCCAATCCCGACGAATTGATACCGGCACAGGATATGTGGCTTCATAAGTTGACTCAAAGCAACAATAAAGTTTTACAGGAAGCTGTCACATATAAAACAAGTTTTGAGGCAGTAACAGAGCCGGACAACATAGATAGCAGCTCAAAAAGTTCTCATCTTTCTGGAAAAAGTGAAAAACCCCAGTCGCAACCGAAGCAGCCGACATCAGCAATCGAGTTCTCAGAAATCTAGTCGTTATACCGCCGCTCCGTCGAAAACACTTTCTGAGAAAAAGCGCGATTTAATGATTTTAAAGAAACAACAAGAGGAACTTGAGAGGCAGGCAAAGGTTTCATTAAGACTGAAAGAGCAGCAAAACAAGACGAAACAATAATTTTTAGATCAACAAAGCAGTTTAGAGTTGGAAGAATTGGCTGAAGAACACACGAAAAAACTGGCAGAAATTGAGTTGAAAGGGCTTGAGTTAAAAGATGAGTTGTCGGAAATCAGCGAGAATGCTGAGGAAAGTGGTTTAACTCGAATCTCTCCACAACTAACAATAGACGAAAAGAATCGTACGCGTCACTGGGTCGAATCTGTCAACCACAATCAGCCTGATGCTGTTGTAGTTCCCAATCAAGAGCAGCACGTTCGTTCAACAGCTCCTGAGGCAACTTATCCTGTATCAATAAATTACTTGGTCTTATCAAGTTTCACAGGAGTGAATAATGGCCAGGCAGCTTCTAGTGATCCGAGATTGTATTTCAGTAACCACATTCACGGAAAACAACATAATTTTTCGAATTTGGTCCACTCGCAGGTTTTCGTTAACAATCCAGTAGGGTTACAGCAGGTCATGCAACCTGTTTCTAATAATTGTTGCCGTATTCAAGTCTGTATCTTTTAAAGATGACCTGAAAAGTGTTAACTTACTGAATCAGGCTGTGAGTAAACTTCCGCCAAACCTTAAGGAAGCATGGTCAATGCAAACCGTAAAACGCCAGTGGCATCGACCAACTCTACTAGGTTTGAACGAATGGCTAAAAGAAAAAGCGGAGGGTCATGAGAGGCTAAAAACAATTAATTCTAAGGTTAAGTCTGGAGAACCAGTGAAGCAAAAAGTAGATACGAAAGTGTTTGCTAGTAATGCAAAGGTGAGTGATAAATCTAAGGAAAAACCAAAGTTCCCTCCATGTTTTGTATGTAGAGGTCAACACGCTCTTTGGAATTGCGCCGTGTTCAAAGAAAAAAACGCTACGCAGCGAGCGAAACATGTAGCCGAACAAAAATTTTGGTTTGCGTGTTTACAGAGCAATCACAGTTTTCGTAATTGTAGCAAGGCCAGAAAGTGCCCCAAGCCAGATTGTGAAAGCACGCACAACGAGCTCTTACATGGAGCTGAGAAAATTTTTCCTCCTGAGAAAATTTTTTCTCCTAAGGATACTAAAAGTTCCCCGGCGTCAGGTAACGCAAACACTAAACATGTATCGACTAACGCTGCCGTCGGCGATATTCATGGCCAGGAGTCAACTAAAGGCCTCCTGCCAGTTGCATCACTCGCCGTCTCTTCGGATGCGACAATTACTAACGCCCTAGCTCTTTGCGATAGTGCTTCCACGCACTCATGGGTACCCGCCGATCTCGTAAAACGCCTCCATTTGGTTGGCACTCCCGTTAAACTCACCATGAATGGATTCAATTCCACGAGCTTGATGAAAACTCATCAAGTAAGTTTTCAAGTTTCCGCCGAGACGAATAATATGAATTTTTGTTTTCTTTTCGAGCTTATGTTAAGGATCATATTCGCATTGGATCGGATAGCATAAGTATTCCTGAATTACAGGAAAAATACCCGCAGTTGGCTCCGATCAAACCTATACATTATAAGTATGAGGACGTCGAAATAATTATTGGACAGGATTTCTACCATGCCATAAGACGTGTTGAGTACCTTCTGTGGGAGGACTCTATTTCACCGTGCGCCGTACGCCTTCCGATAGGTTGGGTTTTAAGTGGTCCGTTACCGCCGTCATCGAACTCGTCTTGCTTTAAGTGTGTTGTCGAAGACATGTCTCTTGCGGACCAAATGAAAACTTGGTTTGAGTTGGAGTCATATGGAGCCTTCAAGCAGGTAGATGCCCGTTCCGCCGCCGACAAACGCGCTTTGTCCGTTTTGAAAAATGACACATTTCACGATGGTGAGAGGTACATTGTACCAATGCTTTGGAACGATAAAGAAAGTACTTTACCGAATAACTATTTTTCCTCCCTTGCTCAATTAAAGTCTTTGGAAAAGAGGCTAGCTAAGGATCCGTCGCTCCGTAAAAAATACGCCGAAACAATTAGAGAAGATGTACAAAAAGGATATGTCATAACCGTTAAGGCACAAGATCCCAAATCACGAGCCAATCGTGAGTGGTATCTCCCGCATCACCCGGTGTTGAACCCGAATAAACACGGTAAGGTGCGCCGAGTCGTCAATGGGGCATCGAAGTGTCATGGCGCTTCCTTGAACAAATCTCTGTTGGTTGGCCCGGATCTCCTTCAAAACCTCATTTTTGTACTTTTAAGATTCCGTCAGCATAAATACGCCGTTTCAGCTGACATTAAAGGGATGTTTTTACAGGTTGGAGTCCGTGAAGAAGATCAAACTTCTCTTCGTTTTTTGTGGCGGGAGGACGCCACATCAAGTGTGGTAGTTCACCAATATACGCGTCATATTTATGGTGCTCGTGACTCGCCGACTTGTGAGAATTTTGCTTTGCAGAAGACTGCATCGGATAATCAAGCTGAGTACCCCAGAGCTGCGTCGGCTGTTGTCCAGAAAATTTGCCCTAGTATACTGAGGACGACTGATTGGCCGTACAAGCCCGATACAAAGGTTATTGATAAAATAAGACTCAATGGACCTTCATGTGACATCGACATTTGTCTGGAAGATTCGTCAAATTTCGTCGTCGATGTTTTGAACGAGAAAAATCTTCCATTCGAAAAATGGGAGAGATTCAATTCAATTGTAAAATACAAACGCACAGTAGCATTTTTGTTAAGATGGCTGCCATCCCATAAACATTTCCGGTCGAGTATATTAGAAATTACAGACCCGTGTGAAATGGATACTGCTGAACAGTAGCTCATTTACCTGTCACAGGGTGAAACATTCCCTAGTGAGCTAAAACTACTAAGATCCGGTAAATTTATCACGAAGAATAGTCGGATCGCCAAGTATTCGCCGTTTATTGGACCAGCTGGCATCCTTCACTCGACTTGGCGCATCAGCTGCTTGGTTATTTCCGATTTCGATAGCAAGCATCCAATTATACTTGACGCACGTCACGCAGTTGTTCGGTTATTGGTTAAACACTTGCACGTTAGGAATTTCCATCAAGGCTTGGATTACATGCGTGCGGTGGTAAATTTGGAATACGTTGTGTTAAATTTGCGATGGTTGCTGCGAAATATTGAAAAAACTTGCGTTGTGTGCCGAAAACACAAAGCGCAAACCGTAACTCATATGATGGCTGATCTGCCCATTGAAAGGCTGGGTTACAAGCAACCTCCTTTCTCTTACACAGGTGTCGACTACTTTGGGCCGTTCCTAGTTCCAATCCGGAGAAGTTCGGAAAAGAGATGGGTTTTTTGTTCACATGTCTCACCACTAGAGCGGTGCATATTGAAGTGGTCCCCTCGCTCGACACAAGCTCTTCTGCGATGGGCGTAGAGAGGTTTATTGCACGTCCCGGTACTCCGACTACCATCAAGTCCGACAACGGCTCGATCTTTGTTGGCGCTCAGAAAGAGCTCTTAGCTTGCGTTGAGAGTTGGAACCAGCTCGCACCCGCTGTTTTTGTTCAGAAGGGATCAAGTGGAAATTCAATCCACCCAGCGCACCGCACCATGGTGACTCCTGGGAGCGATTAGTTCGGAGTGTTAAGCGCGTCTTGTATAACATCCTAGGCAACAGAAGAGTAACTGAGGAGGTTCTAAGAACCACGCTGTGCCTTGTTGAGCAATCACTCAACGCTAGACCAATAACAGCCGTTAGTTCCGATCCGCTAGATCTAGAGGCGTTGACCCCGAATCATTTTATCCTTGGTCAACACGCAGCGAGTTTTCCGTCGCTAAGTTTCGAAGAAAACTTCGACCATAAGAAGCGTTTCGCCAGAGCGCAATCATACGCTAACGCAATATGGAGATGGTGGATGCGGGAATACGTTCCTTCCCTCAATAGGAGGGCAAAGTGGCACAACCAGTCAGACGTTAAGTTAAAAGCCGGCGACTTGGTTTGGGTCATAGAGCCTGACACTCCATGTGGACAATTTCCACTCGCACGTGTCCTAAGACTGCATTATGGCAAGGACGGAGGCGCGAGATCCGCCGACATAAAGACCGTTACGAGCGAATTGACCCGCCCGACCGTACAGCTCGCTCCCGTTCTTCCTTGTTTAGGGGTGGATGATGTTGCAGCGCAAATGCATGAGAGTATAAATTCGAGAGTATAAATGCATAAAACTGAACCAAAATGTAACAACAAGAAGCACAGTTGGCCGAGTGGCCTAAGCTACAATAACGCCCACTATGTAGTCTCGACAGTTGACGTAGGTTCGAGTCCCCCACCTGCTCATGTATTAATATACTAAAAAGGTGGTTATATCCTATTTTAACTGTTTTGTTGATTCTAATTTGGTTCAGCCTTGATTAGGGCTGACCGCTAAAAAAGAGCAATTTGCCTCAAGAAAATTACCGACCGGTTCTTGTGGCTAGCTTGCGCTAATTTGTTTGAAGCGGTAAATTTGGTGAATTTATGAACTCGTTATACAGCAAACTTTGGGATGAAATTATCAATATTGCCGTTGAATTTTGTATTACTGAGAATACGAATGCATTGTTGATTTTTCGGTTAAATTCATACTACGGAGATTAGCGGGCACAAATGTTTTTTTTTGTGAATTTTGTTTTGCTGCTCTGTGGCTGGGTGTCCGCCAAAATCCTCTTTGCAAAAAGTGGAGAGCTGTCGGCAAGAGTTGCAAAATGGGTTGACAGTTAAAACGATTACTATTTTAATTCTTCGTTTTGTTTAAAGCTCCGCCCTATTTGTTTTTTGTTGCAATTAACTGATCTTTTGTAACTCTGTAAAGTAGTTAACAAAACTGTTGACATATCTCACAAAAATGGAGAAAACGAAAACAAGATCAATCTCAGATCAGTCAGAAAATAACGAGTTGAATTTGAGCAACATAGAAAAAAATCCGGTGTAAGAATATTTTATTGTACGCGCTTCCAGAGCCGCAAACGGCAGGCTTCGTTCCACAAAATCGAAAGTTAGAATAGCCCTACATGGGTTCCATTTTGAAACATTGCAATTATTTGACATAGATATTTGCTGTTGTTTTTTTATAAAGCACCATTGCAATAATTCTGGACCTTGAAATGATAGCCTTGTAAATAATTGGATTCTCAATAAGTTTTGATTATTCACGAGGAATTTCTTGTACTTCTTGTATCGTAATTGAGCCTTTTTCTTCTTCATTTTCTTCATCTTCTTCTTTTTCTTCTTTTTTAGGGTTTACTCTGACAGTCTTGAAGCTTTCATATTTTTTAAGATTTTTCAGTCTGTAAAGAAAAAAACAGAAATATGAAATGCACTCAAGTTTCAATCATTTTGCACATACCGCATCACAAGTCCCTGCCTAACATTTTTTGTGGTAAGCTTCAATCTCATTAGAAAATTGTGTCATCTCGTGCCTTTTTTCTTAGTATGAATCTCACTGTATAAAATTTTGATTTTTCTAATTTTGCTTGAACAATTGAGTGCGTTATGCAGATGAAGTTTGAAAAAAGCTGACGTTTCTATAAAACATCGATTTGATCCGAAAATAATACTCTGACAATCTCTTCAAATTGCTTGCAGCTAGATATAAACACAATTTGGTTTGTTTGGCGCGTGCGAGTACGCATAACAAAACTGGACATTTGATGTCCCGAAATTTACGCTTCAGCTAAAAAACTAAATTTTTACCTGAAAAAAATACTGCTTAATTATTAACTTTTATTTTGGCTCAAATAACATGATTTCATTAATGTATATTGCACAGTTTATATTTTGACTAGAAACAAAGTGGTTCTAAGAAACAACTGAAGAAAGTGGAGCCCCCTTGATGAACACTCCAACAAAAAACTAATTTGAGCACTATCTGAAATCAAAGACATCTTGAACACAAAATCGAATGGCTTTTCCGGCTGATGAACAAAAAAATGCTATCGCAGAATGCAGCCCAAATGATGATTATTATAGCCTCATTGAACACCTCAAAACCTTCGAAAGAAGAGACAACCGACCAGCAGAAGAAACTATAATGTTAAATCTCAATGAAGTTATCTATCCAAACAAAACAACTGAACAAATATCATTTTCAAGCAAAACTTCGGCAACATCGGCGAAAGATTTGAGAAATGACTTCTATCAAAGTTCTCCCGATACGCGTGGTTGTACATTGGATGGCCCGGTCAATGGTGAACAAATTTTGATATCAAGCGACGAAAAATCATTTCCAGCGACAGATTCGAAACAGAATTGCAACCAGAATAGCTGTGAAACATTTGACTTACCCGTGTGTGAACAAAAAGAGTTTAGTTTAGAGTACATAAACGGCAACTTACATGAAAGCACTGAAAAAATCGAAGAAAATGAAAAAGCTACCGAAATTAGTGTTTCGATTTCAAACGAAACTCGGCTGATCGACAAATCACCCGACAAACCTACAATAACAGCAACCGATTTGAGTACCAAAGAAAACCCAGATGACTCAAATGATACATGCAGTGTTGTTTATGATGTTTCTAATCACGATATTTATTCGGCTTACTCCGAATACAGTCAATATGAGCAACACTATTTGACAGCATACCTTGAAACATGCGAAAAACCGGATACTTCTATCACTAAAGTCCTCAACTTTAGCCAATCGGAACAGCAGCTTGGTTCATCAAGCAGCAATTCCTCGACTGAATCGAAGACCAATTTGAAAAATATCTGCAAATCTGTTAATTCTGGTACCTGCGATATTACCATTTCCCCTGTAACTGATCCAAACGACGATGTCTATACCAATTACAATCAATCCGATATTTATAACAATAGGACTGAATATCTAGAAAACATTGATAGCCGTCAAAAAACGAAGCCACCACTGAGGGAAAAGGCTAAAGTATTTTTTGAGACGCGTAAAACATATCTGATCGTTGTGCTTAGACTACTTTTGATAGCAGTCGTATTAGCACTTATTTCGTTCCTAGGCTTTTCATTTCTAACAGGCTGGCAATGATCTTTTACCTGACCAGTTTCCAATGATAAGAAAACTGAATATTTCTTTAGTGGAAAATCACATCATAAGTCCATTGATTTAAAGAATTTACCAAACCATCGTATCAGGGCGAAGTCCTCAGTAGTCCGACTGCATTTTAAAACCTATGCAGAAGGTTCGCTTTCAAATAATTTCTTGTATATTTAAAAAAAAAACGAAAAATATTCAAAAAAAAATTTCGTTGAGATTTTTTTTTTGAAATGAAGGGCAACACGCTAATGTACAGTACAAAATGATACATTTTCGGTAAAAAGTAATAAAAAACTAAATAGCATAACTCAAATCAATTTGAAACGTTTTCTAAGACTCATTTATTCTCCGCTTACGCGTTAAAAGGGAAAATATATCGCGGGTTAACTAACCCGAATTGGCCAAATTAGCAACCCTCAAATTCACATATCTTCACAAAAATATATCACAGGTGAAATTGTTAAAATCTTTTTAATATTTTTACCAGGCCAACAAAACCTTTCGAATAAAAAAGTAGAAAAAAAGCTAGTTGAAATGTCAATAAAAACACCCATGCACAAATATTCCGTCACTTTTTTCGAAAATTGAAAAAACAACACGCGTGTAATTCGACTTTGCCCTTTTGATCCTTTTTTTGATAATAAACAACGTATAAAATCACTTTGAAAACTTCTGACATGTCAATTGCAAATTCAAAATTTCAAGCAATTTGAATGAAAAAATTAGCATCAGAAGGTGTCGTTCGAGTTGAATTCAAAATACTTGTTATTATTTTTATAAGTGTTTTTGGTACAGACTTTTCCTGCGAGTAATTATTTCTTGTCTGGTGCTAAAAAATTGGTCTGTTAAAAGAAGTCGATTCATTACCTGGACCCCAATAACATTGCACCCTGAACACTAGTATCATTGTATTTGCTTTCAGTTACTTTTTTGTAGTTAGTGTACTTATGGAGCAATCTGTTCTTTTGAAAAAGTTTTTCGTCCGCTTGAATCAATTGGATTATACAGGGGCTACTTCTATTCCAGAAGGACTGCAAATCCAAATTTTTTGGTTATTTGAAAACCGTGAAACTGACAAAGCACACAAAAACGCAGCAAACATTCTCGATTTCGTTTTGTTTTCATTTTGCCTAAATAAATTAGAAGACTGTTTACATCAGGGCAATACCCTGAACACTCCGACTGCCTACTAAGATCTATGAAGCAGTAATATTACGAAAAAATCAAATGTAACAAAAAATGCAATTTTTTCCAATGATAGAAAAAATTGAATAACTCTTTAGTGGAAAATCACATCAAAAGTCCATTAATTTATTTAATTGACCAAAATCATCTTATCAGGGCAAAAACCTCAATAATTTGAATGCCCTTCAACGTCTATGCAGTAGTGTTTGCTTTAAAAAAAATCATTTACATTTAAAAAAAAACTGAAAATTACTCAAAAATTTTAATGAGATTTTTGTGAAATGAAGCGCTACACGCTATTGTACAGTTCAATACAAACATTTTGGGTATATACCAGGAAAGGCAACCTTATGAATGATACAAAAAATCCAGCGAAAATGGCTAGTTGAAAAGTCAAAAAAA